TTGTTAGGTGTCTTGTGTCCAAATTTGGTGTCAATTCGTCCAGTGGTTTTTGAGTTCTGTTAATCCCACAAACGAATATTACATTTTTATTTATAGATATAGGATTTTTATTTATATAGATGATGATGATGATGATGATGATGATGATGATGATTATTTAGTGAGCGCGTCTAAGCAAGGAAGAAGTAGTGAGCCCAGGAGGGGAAATAGCGAGACATAAATAGTATTATAACAACCACTACAATATACAAGTCCCCGAGTTATAAATATCCGACTTACGAGTGACACCAAATTTGGACACAACACACCTAACAACCCAATGTATGTCCTTCACTCAGAAAAATTGATTTTGTCATTTTGGAGTTGTAGTTGCTGGGATTTATAGCTCACCTACAATCAAAGCGCATTCTGAACCCCACCAACGATGGAATTGAACCAAACTTGGCACACAGAACTTCCATGACCAACGGAAAATACTGGAAGGGTTTGGTGGGCAGTGTCCTTTGGTTTTGGAGTTGTAGTTCACCTGCGTCCAGAGATCACTGTGGACTCAAACAATGATGGATCTGGACCAAACTCTACACAAATACTCAATAGACATTTGGGAGTTGTAGTTGCTGGGATTTATAGTTCACTTACAATCACAGAGCATTCTGAACCCCACCAACGATAGAATTGGGCCAAACCTCCCACACAGAACCCCCATGTGGGCCACAGCAACGCGTGGCAGGGAATGGCTAGTCTATCTATATAAATAAAATGTAATGTTCGTTTGTGGGATTAACATAACCCAGAAACCACTGGACGAATTGCCGCCACATTTGGACACAAGACACCTACTAAGCCAAGGAGTGACCATCGCTCAAAAAATTAATTTTGTCATTTGGGAGTTGTAGATTATTCTGAACATTCCGAACTCCACCAACAATAGAATTGAGTCAAACTTGGAACACAGAACAGAAAATACTGGAAGGGTTTGATGGGCATTGACCTTGAGTTTGGGAGTTGTAGTTCACCTACATCCAGAGAGCACTGTGGACTCGAACAATGATGGATTTGGACCAAACTTGGCACGGGATACTCAATATGCCCAGGTGTGAACACTGGTGGAGTTTGGGGAAAATAAGCCTTGATATTTGGGAGTTGTAGTTGCTGGGATTTGTAGTTCACCTACAATCAAAGATTATTCTGAACTCCACCATCGAAATAATTGGGTCAAACTTCCCACACAGAATTCTCATGACCAACAGAAAATACTGAAACGGTTTGATGGGGATTGACCTTGAGTTTGGGAGTTGTAGTTCACCTACATCCAGAGAGCACTGTGGACTCGAACAATGATAGATTTGGACCAAACTTGGCACGGATACTCAATCTGCCCAGGTGTGAACACTGGTGGAGTTTGGGGAAAATAAGCCTTAATATTTGGGAGTTGTAGTTGCTGGTATTTGTAGTTCACCTACAATCAAAGATTATTCTGAACCCCACCATCGAAAGAATTGTGTCAAACTTCCCACACAGAATTCCCATGACCAACAGAAAATACTGTGTTTTCTTATGGTTTTTTGCAACCCCCTAACACCCCCTCATGACCCGCCTCTCAGGGGTCCCAACCCCCAGGTTAAGAAACACTGGCTTAAATGTTCATTGTTCAATGCTATGACATTCTGGGAGTTTTAATTTTGTGAGATGTCAACACACTTCAGTAAGCTTTTAAACAGAGGCTGAATGGCCATCTGTTGGGGGTGCTTTGAATACAATTTTCCTGCTTCTTGGCAGGGGGTTGGACTGGATGGCCCATGAGGTCTCTTCCAACTCTGTGATTCTATAACACAGGGGGCATTTTTTTATCCATCCGTGTGTATGTGTATATATCCTATATATTAGCTATATATAAAATAATATTATCTATCTATCTATAATATTATCTAAATCTATATCTATGTATATATAATACTATCTATATTTATCTATATTTATGTCTATATTTATATCTATAATCCCTCTTGTTCCCAAGTCCTATCTTTATCAAATGTATAGAAAATAAAGTGATTCAATCTTTGTTGGTTATTCAACTTTTGGTTTCCACTTCCTTCTTCCTCCTCGCCTGGGCTGCTTTATTTCCCCGGAGAAGTTAATATTTGGAAGTTAGATTCAACCCCGTAGGCCACGGAAAGCGATGATGGAGTCACATTCTCTCAGCCTCGGAGAAAGGCCCAAGGTCCTTCAAGGGAACATCTTAGGTCAGAAGTGGGCAAGGACTTGAGGATAGACCAGGCATGGACAAACTTAAGCTCTCATCTCCGGGTGTTTTGGATTTCAACTTATAGAATCATAGAATCAAAGAGTTGGAAGAGACCTCATGGGCCATCCAGTCCAATCCCCTGCCAAGAAGCAGGAATATTGCATTCAAATCACCCCTGACAGATGGCCATCCAGCCTCTGTTTAAAAGCTTCCAAAGAAGGAGCCTCCACCACACTCTGGGGCAGAGAGTTCCACTGCTGAACAGCTCTCACAGTCAGGAAGTTCTTCCTCATGTTCAGATGGAATCTCCTTCTTGTAGTTTGAAGCCATTGTTTCGCATCCTAGTCTCCAGGGAAGCAGAAAACAAGCTTGCTCCCTCCTCCCTGTGGCTTCCTCTCATATATTTATACATGGCTATCATATCTCCTCTCAGCCTTCTCTTCTTCAGGCTAAACATGCCCAGCTCCTTAAGCCGCTCCTCATAGGGCTTGTTCTCCAGACCCTTGATCATTTTAGTCGCCCTCCTCTGGACACATTCCAGCTTGTCAATATCTCTCTTGAATTGTGGTGCCCAGAATTGGACACAATATTCCAGGTGTGGTCTAACCAAAGCAGAATAGAGAGGTAGCATTACTTCTCTAGATCTAGACCAGGGGTCCTCAAACTATGGCCGGGGGGGGGGGGCGATACGGCCCTCCAAGGTCATTTACCCGGCCCTCGCTCAGGGTCAACCTAAGTCTGAAACGACTTGAAAGCACACAACAACAACAACAATCCTTCTCTTCTTCAGGTTAACATGCCCAGCTCCTTAAGCCGCTCCTCATAGGGCTTGTTCTCCAGACCCTTGATCATTTGAGTCGCCCTCCTCTGGACACATTCCAGCTTGTCAATTTCTCTCTTCAATTGTGGTACCCAGAATTGGACACAATATTCCAGGTGTGGTCTAGGCAGAATAGGGGGCTAGCATTACTTCCCTAGATCTAGACCAGAGGTCCTCAAACCACGGCGGGGGGGGGGGGCTGATACGGCCCTCCAAGGTCTTTTACCATGCCCTCGTTCAGTGTCAACCTACATCTGAAACAACTTGAAAGCACACAACAACAACAATCCTATCGCATCAGCCAAAAGCAGTTCCACACTTCCCATTGAAATACTAATAAATTTATATTTGTCAAAATTGTTCTTACTTTTAATTATTGTATTGTTTTTAAGTGTTTTTTTGCACTACAAATAAAAAATGTGCAGTGTGCATAGGAATTCGTGTTTTTTTCAAATTATTATCCGGCCCTCCAACAGTTTGAGGGACTGTTTAAAAAGTCTGGGGACCCCTGATCTAGACACTATGCAGGCCAAACTCCCACCATTCCTAAAAGTTTGAGGACCCCTGATCTAGACCTCCTATTGCTGCAGGCCAAACTCCCACCATTCCTAACAGCCTCAGGCCCCTTCCTTTTCCTTTTCCCTTTCCTCTTCGGCTTAAGCCGAAGGGGGAAAAGCTGAGAGGGGAAAAGAAAGGGCCTGAGGTTGTTAGGAATGGTGGGAGTTGGAGTCCAAACCTGGGAGAAGGGAGGAAGGGCTCAAGCTGGCCCAGGCCCGAAACAGAAGAAGAACAACACTACCAGCCAGGCTCTTTCATTGCCTTTTGCCAGAGGCATGTTGATCCTTGGATGGAGAAGGGAGGGGGGCTTTTGAAAGGGGGTAAGGGGGCGTGGCTTCCTCCTCTTCCTCTTCCTCCTCCTCCTCCTCCCCTGGGCTCCTTCCCTGTCCCCCGAGGGCTGGAGAGAGAGACCAATGCCAGGCGTCTCTTGGCGCGGAGGGCAGAGAGAGCCGAGGTTGGGCCAGAAGAAGGGAGGAAGGCAAGCCAAGGCTGGGCCAAGCCCCCCCCCCCTCCCTCGGAAGCCTGAGAAACGGGGGAGGGGTCGAGCAGAAGGAGGAGGAGGAGGCAGAGCCGAGCGGGTGGCCCGCCAGCACTCTCCGAAGGTTGGAAGGGAGAGAGAGAGAGAGAAAGCGCCGCCTTCTTCCCTTCCTCCCTTCCTCCCTTCCCTCTGCTTGCCTTCTTCTCCTCCTCTTCTGCGGGACTACACCCGGGACCTTCCTTGGACTGTTTTGGTTTCGGCTCCTTTGCTTCCTCAACGCCGATCCGGAGGAATTTCGGGCCGATTTCGCCTCGCCTTTGCTTCCATTCCGAGCGGAACTGTTTGGTTTTGTTTTTCTTTGGCGAGGAGGAAGAGGAAGAGAAAAGAGGGGCGAGTGAGCCACTGAAGGAAGAGGAAGGGCTGGGGAGGTGAGTGGCTGATTTCTCTGAGGAAGGGGGCCAACTGTCCCTTTATCCCCCTCCAAGCCCCACTCGAAGAGAGTCGAGGAGGAGAACGCGAGAAAGGAGGAGGGAAAGAGAAAGGAAAGCAGGCGAAGAGAAAATCAGGGAGAAAATCGCGCCCTCATTCCGGCTCCCAAGCCCAACACAACTTGAGTAGTGTAGGAAGGGGAGAGGAAGAGGAAGGGTTCAATCCTGCCCTTGCCTTGGCTTCCAATCCCATCTCAACTTGAGTACTGTAGGAAGAGAAAGAGAGGAGAGGGAGAGGCCGAGGGAGGCCATCGCGCCCTTGTCTTGGCTTCCAAGCCCAACTTAGGGAGTGGAGGAAGAGGAGAGGAAGCGGAAGAGAGGAAGACTTAGGGAAGAGAAGTGTATCTCTTTCGGAGAGGCAATCCTGCCCTTGCCTTGGCTTCCAATCCCAACCCAACTTGGATAGTGTAGAAAGAGAGACGAAGAGAGAAGCTTAAGGAAACGGAGTGTGTTTATTTTGACTTGGCTTCCAATCTCAACCCAACTCGGAGAGGGCAAGAAGAGGAAGAGAAAGAGAGGAAAGAAGGGAGGAAGGGAGAGACCGAGGGGGGCAAAGTGTGCCTTTTTTTTTTGGAGAGACAATCGTGTCGGGAAAAGAGGAGAGGAAGCGAAAGAGAGGAAAGAAAGGAGAGGCGGAGGGAGGCCAGCGCGCCCTTGCCTTGGTTTCCAATCTTGGAGAGTGTAAGAAGAAGAGAAGAGAGAGATTGTGATTTTTTTGGAGACGCAATTGTGCTCTTGCCTTGGCTTCCAATCCCAACCCAACGTGAGTAGTATAAAAAGAGGAGAGAGAGGCTTAGGTAGGCCTACTTTGGAGAGGTAATTGTGTCCTTACCTTGGCTTCCAATCCCAGCCCAACTTGGAGACTGTGAGAAGAGGAAGGAGAGGAAGAATTTTTGGAGGCAATTGTGCCTTTGCCTTGGCTTCCAATCCCAACTCAACTTGAGTAGTATAAGAAGAGAAGAGGAAGAGGGAGAGAGAGGCTTAGGTAGGCAAAGTGTGCCTATTTTGAAGAGGAAGAGAGAGATTTAGGAACGCGAAGTGTGAATTTTTTGGAGAGGCAATTGTGCCCTTGTCTTGGCTTCCAATCCCAACCCAACTTGAGTAGTATAAGAAGAGAGAGAGAGAGAGAGAATTAGGTAGGCAAAGTGTGCCTACTTTGGAGAGGCAATCTGCCCTTACCTTGGCTTCCAATCCCAACCCAATTTGAATATAAGAAGAGGAGAGGGGGAGAGAGGCTTAGGTAGGCAAAGTGTGCCTATTTTGGAGAGGCAACCGTGCCCAGCCTTGGCTTCCAATCCCAACCCACCTTGGAGACTGTGAGAAGAGGACGAGAAGGAGAGGAAGAGAGAGATTTAGGAAAGCGAAGTCTCTATTTTTGGAGAGACAATTGCGTCCTTGCCTTGGCTTCCAATCCCAACCCAACTTGAGTAGTATAAGAAGAGAGGGAGAGAGAGAATTAGGTAGGCAAAGTGTGCCTACTTTGGAGAGGTAATCGTGTCCTTGCCTTGGCTTCCAATCCCAACCCAATTTGAGTAGTATAAGAAGAGAGGGAGAGAGAGGCTTAGGTAGGCAAAGTGTGCCTACTTTGGAGAGGCAATTGCGCCCTTACCTTGGCTTCCAATCCCAACCCAATTTGGAGACTGTGAGAAGAAGAAGAGAAGGAGAGGAAGAATTTTTTGGAGAGGCAATTGTGCCCTTTCCTTGGCTTCCAATCCCAACTCAACTTGAGTAGTATAAGAAGAGGAGAGGGAGAGGGAGAGAGAGGCTTAGGTAGGCAAAGTGTGCCTGTTTTGGAGAGGCAATCGTGCCCTTACCTTGGCTTCCAATCCCAACCCAATCTGAGTAGTATACGAAGAAGGAGAGAAAGACTTACGTAGGCAACGTGTGCCTATTTTGGAGAGGCAACCGTGCCCTTACCTTGGCTTCCAATCCCAACCCAATTTGAGTAGTATACGAAGAAGGAGCGAGAGCCTTAGGTAGGCAAAGTGTGCCTATTTTGGAGAAGCAACCGTGCCCTTACCTTGGCTTCCAATCCCAACCCAACTTGGAGAGTGTGAGAAGAGGAAGAGGAAAAGCAGGGAGAGGGGAGGAAGGGAGAGGCTGGGGGGCCTCCCTCGCCCTTCTTGGCCTTCTTGGATCCCGGGGCGAAGGGCAGGCTGGGCGTCGATGACCGCGGGTCCCTCCCGGGCGGCGCTTTCCTCTCCTCTTCCTCCTTCTTTCCCGATGTCGGAGAAGGCGCCCCTTCCTCCGCCGGCGCCCATGGACCCGTCCCCTTCCTCGGCCTCCTCGGCGCCCGGCAACAGCACTAGCGGCAGCGGCGGCGGCACGGGCTCCTCCTCGGGTTCGGGCTCGGTCTCGAAAGGCGGCAAGAAGAGCTCGGCGGGGATCCGCCGCCCGGAGAAGCCGCCCTACTCGTACATCGCGCTGATCGTGATGGCCATCCAGAGCTCTCCGGCCAAGCGGCTGACGCTGAGCGAGATCTACCAGTTCCTCCAGGCGCGCTTCCCCTTCTTCCGCGGCGCCTACCAGGGCTGGAAGAACTCCGTCCGGCACAACCTGTCTCTCAACGAGTGCTTCATCAAGCTGCCCAAGGGGCTGGGCCGGCCCGGCAAGGGCCACTACTGGACCATCGACCCGGCCTCGGAGTTCATGTTCGAGGAAGGCTCCTTCCGGAGGCGCCCGCGGGGCTTCAGGAGGAAGTGCCAGGCTCTCAAGCCCAGCGTCTATGGCATGATGAACCTCAACTTCAACCACCTGCCGGACACCTACGCCTTCCAAGGGGGGCCCTGCGCCCCCAACGCCCTCGCCGGCCTCGACGGCGCCGCCCTGGGCATGATGAACGTGGAGAGCATGGGCCTGGCCCCACACCTGCCCTCCAACCCCGGGCACCACGCTTACATGTCCGGGGGAGGAGGGGGCGGCCCGGGGGAGGACTACGGCGTCCACCACCACCACCACCACAACGGCGGCCTGCCCGCCTCGCCTCTCCTGTCGGGACACGGCAACGGGAACGGGAACACAGGCGCCGCGCTGGAAGCCTCCCACTCGGTCTACTCCACCGCCCCTCCTCCGGCCTGGGGACCCTCAACCGGGCCCGGGCTCAACGGTAGCCCCGCTTCCTACCTCAAGCAGCCTTCTCTTTCACCCTGCAACGCCAACGCTAACACCGGAGGAGGAGGAAACCCTTTGGCCGCGGGGCTCCCCGCACACGCCTTGGAGCAGCCTTACCTCCACCAGAACAGCCACAACCCCGCCGAACTACAAGGTAAGAAACCACATATGAGTGAGTAAACTAGGTTTTTTCAAGCAATCCCCGGGTTACGAACAACCGACTCGTACTTACGAACGGACTGAGACCGCCGGGAGAGAGATCTCCCCCCTGGGATGAAGGGAAATCATAAAATCATAGAGTTGGAAGACACCTCATGGGCCTTCCAGTCCAACCCCTTGCCAAGAAGCAGGAATATTGCATTCAACCCTCCAGGCTCACCACACTGGAGCATTTCTCCACTGTAGTAGTAGTAGTAGTAATATTTATTTATTTCTTTACTTCATTTGTATACCGCTCTCTCTCAGCCCGTAGGCGACTCAGAGCGAACCAAGTCAGTATACAAAGTGCACAACATTAGCATTTAAAACAGTAACCAAGGCAACTACATCAATATAACAATACATCAATACATCAATATAACTAGGTTCTTGTAGGTTTTTTCGGGCTATAGGGCCATGTTCTAGAGGCATTTCTCCTGACGTTTCGCCTGCATCTATGGCAAGCATCCTCAGAGGTAGTGAGGTCTGTTGGAAATAGGAAAATGGGTTTATATACAGACCTCACTCCCTCTGAGGATGCTTGCCATAGATGCAGGCGAAACGTCAGGAGAAATGCCTCTAGAACATGGCCCTATAGCCCGAAAAAAACTTACAAGAACCTAGTGATTCCAGCCATGAAAGCCTTCGACAATACATTCATCAATATAACATCAATACATCCATATAACTAATAACTTTATTCTTATATCTCTCCCTGAAGAGACTGGGGAAGTTTACACGGAGACCAAGCCCAACGAAAACGATTTAAAATAGATCACAATTAAAATACATTGCATTTCAATAATCTATATAAATAAAAATGTAATGTTCGTTTGTGGGATTAACTGAACTCAAAAACCATTGACACTAAATTTGGACACAAGACACCTAACAGTCCAACAAGTCCATCACCCATGAACACACACTTACGCACACAAAACCCCTGCGGAACAGACTTAAAACCCCCAAAAATACACCATATATACATATATACACACACATATATATACAAACACACATATACATATCCACATACATATATACACACAAATATGCATATAGATAAGCACACACATATACACAATATGCATGTACACATATAAATACGCAAACACACATTATTATTATTATTATTATTATTATTATTATTATTATTATTATTATTATTATCAACGTCATCATCATCATTATTGGGGAGTGGAGTCGGGGTATATATAAATTATTATTATTATTATTATTATGACACAAATATATACACCCACAAACCACATATACACAGACTGAGCCACAGCAACAAGTGGCAGGGGGACAGCTAGTTAAAATAATACAACCGAACAACAGACATCATCAAAACATAAGAACAACAGTAACCATCAACCAATAGATATTTGATCTCCAAGGAGATCAACATGTCCCCCTCCTTAGTATCCTTTAATAATAATAATAATAATAATAATAATAATAATAATAATAATAATAATAGGATCTGCGCGCATCATTCGAAAATACATCACACCGTCCTAGACGCTTGGGAAGTGTTCGACTTGTGATTTTGTGATATGAAATCCAGCATATAGATCTCATTTGCTGTGACATACTGTGCTTTTGTGTCAGCAAAATAATAATAATAATAATAATAATAATAATAATAATAATAATAATAATAGGTTCTTGTGGGTTTTTTCGGGTTATATGGCCATGTTCTAGAGCATGGCCATATAGCCCGAAAAAAACCGCACAAGAACCTAGTGATTCCAGCCATGAAAGCCTTCGACAATACAATAATAATAATAATAATAATAATAATAATAATAATAATAGTCATTTATATCCTGCCACGATTTTTCCGAAAAGTTTACAGAAAGCATACCAGAGTGCAGTAAAAACACATAAAATCCAAGTAGTTTACATCCGCATTTAAACTAGAACAGTGTCAATTGACATAAAACAACACTCACAAAAGACAAAAAGGCCAATTCAATTTAAATAAAATATTCAGTAAGCCCTCCTCCGGTGGTTTGTCGGTAATAATAATAATAATAATAATAATAATAATAATAATAATAATAATTTATATATACCCCGGCTCCACTCCCCAATAATGATGATGATGATGTTGATAATAATAATAATAATAATAATAATAATAATAATAATGCTTTATGTATACCCTGCCCCCTTTCCCCAATAATAATAGTAATAGTAATAGATATTGTGGGATTTTCTGCCTTGATATTCTGGGATACAGGGCTGTGTGGAAGGGCCCTTCGTCCACTAGAGAGAGAAAAATCATTTAAAACCCGGTTTCTGCCTCCTGCAGAACTCTAGGGTTTATAGTTTAGTGAGGCTGTTAAAGATTCCTGCCTAAACTACAAACCCCAAAACTACAAAGCCGCCTCTCCCCAATAATAAAAATAATAGTAATTATAATACTTTATGTATATCCCACCCCTTCTCCCCAATAATAGTAAGAGTAATAAAAATATTTTATGTATATCCCCAAAAATAGTAATAGCAATATTAATACTTTATGTATCTCCCACCCCTTCTCCCCAGTAATAGTAATAGTAATAATAATACTTTATGTATATCCCACCCCTTCTCCCCAATAATAGTAATAGTAATAATAATACTTTATGTATATCCCCAATAATAGTAATAGTAATACTTTATGTATCTCCTACCCCTTCTCCCCAATAACAGTAATAGTAATAATAATACTTTATGTATATCCCACCTCCTCTCCCCAATAATAGTAATAGTAATAGTAATACTTTATGCATATCCCAAATAATAGTAATAGTAATAATAATACTTTATGTATATCCCACCCCTTCTCCCCAATAATAGTAATATAATAGTATTAATAATACTTTATGTATATCCCACCCCCTCTCCCCAATAATAGTAATAATAATACTAATACTTTATGTATATCCCCAATAATAGTAATAGTAATAATAATACTTTATTTATATCCCACCCCCTCTCCCCAATAATAGTAATAATAATAATACTTTATGTATATCCCACCCACTCTACCCAATAATAGTAATAATAATACTTTATGTATATCCCACCCCCTCTACCCAATAATAGTAATAATAATAATGCTTTATGTATATCCCACCCACTCTCCCCAATAATAATAGTAATAATAATACTTTATGTATATCCCACCCAATCTCCCCAATAATAGTAATAGTAATACTTTATGTATATCCCACCCCCTCTACCCAATAATAGTAATAATAATACTTTATATATATCCCACCCACTCTCCCCAATAATAGTAATAATAAAAATACTTTATGCATATCCCACCCACTCTACCCAATAATAGTAATACTTTATGTATATCCCACCTCCTCTCCCCAATAATAGTAATAGTAATACTTTATGTATATCCCACCCCCTCTGCCCAATAATAGTAATAGTAATACTTTATGTATATCCCACCCCCCTCTGCCCAATAATAGTAACAGTAATAATAATACTTTATGTATATCCCACCCAATCTCCCCAATAATAGTAATAGTAATAATAATACTTTATTTGTAACCCGCCCTATCTATCTCCCCAAGAGACTCAGGGCTGTTTCCAATGAGTAACAAAAATGGCAAAACATTCAATGTCGAAAACAGACAACAACAAATCAAGTCAAAAACAATGGATTCAACAATCTCAATCCGACTTCTAAAACTCACCGAAAGATAGCCAAGAATTGCACTTAAATAAGCATAACATAACACATAAACACATACAAATTAAACTAAATGCATTAAAAGCAGAAGATGATTTGCCAGCTAACAACAAGGAAGAACAGACACACACCAGAACAGCCACACACAAAAACAATTCAGGGAAAAATTAGGTCAAAAGAAGAAATCATCACACCCAAAGCAAAGCAAAATCAATGAGTTACAAAAACAATCAGGCATGTAGTGCAGTAAAAAAGTGGGGGAGACCTCCTCTTGTTGGCAAAGCAATAAGATCTAATTCGTATTAGTCTCATTGGAAACCTACCTCACTGAATTTACAGTTAGCCATTTTAATCAAGTCTGCCGAACTACAAGGAAAGAAACCCTTCACAGAAGGGTGGGCGAACTAGGTTTTTTAAATCACTCCCCGGGTTACGAACACTCGACTCGTACTTACGAACGGACTGAACCCGCCGGGAGAGCGCTCTCCCCCCCCCCCCCGGATGAAGGGAAATCATAAAATCATAGAGTTGGAAGAGACCTCATGGGCCTTCCAGTCCATAAAGTTTGCAAAACACTCCAGTTTGGGGGACCAAAAGCATCCAACTTACAGTTGACTATTTAGACATAAGCAAATGACTTGTCTAGTTAGGGCCAAACATATTTGACCAGGTATGGGACAACTTGGGCTTTCATTCCAGGTGTTTTGGACTTCAACTCCCACCATTCCTAACTGCCTCGGGCCCTTTCCTTTTCCCCCTCAGTTGCTTAAACATCTGATCTATCCCCAATTCTTGTTTCCAAAATCCTATTACACTGTGTAACAAAGTACTATTTCCTGTTTAATTGTGCCTCCATTATTCTGAAAGTAGTCCAGGGACTTCCTTGAATGGACACAAGCTATGTTGAATTGGAGGTAGCCCTTGAAACATTCCAGCAACATCTGCCACAGGATGTCCCGCAAAAATAAAATATATTTTTTTTGCACTTTAATCAACTTTTCCCCCATGTTTTATATTATAGAACCAATTAGGAAATGAGATTTATCAAACCAGGAACAAAAGTGGTGTCACATAGTGTTATCACAGGGAGGTGAGATCTTGCAAAACAAGCACCCACTTATCCTATGGTATTCAAACTGCCTTGAGCTACATCATAGTTCAGTGTAGACTCATACATTGCAAATGGGCAGCCAGTCAGCTATGAGTCTCCTTATAAATAAACATAACAACAACAACATGCAACTCAATTATAG